CCGATCTCTTGGAAGAGCTTTGGTTAGAATATCCGCTTGTTGTTCATTAGTGTGAATATATTTAACATTGATTTCACCGTCTGCGACTTTCTCTCTTATAAAGTGATACTTAATATCTATATGTTTTGTGCGTTTATGAAACTCAGGGTTTTTGGAAAGTCTGATTGCACTTATGTTGTCTACAGAGAGAACGGTCGCGTCAGGTTGTTCGAAACCCAAATCGCTTAATAACTTCCGAATCCATGTTGTCTCTTTAGCTGCTGTGGCAGCTGCTACGTACTCGGATTCGGTCGTGCTTAGAGTAACTATTTTCTGTCTCTGAGATGACCACGTGATTGGTCCGTTTGCGAGTTTGAACACGTATCCTGATGTAGAGCGTCGCGTCTCTACGTCTTCGGCATAATCGGCATCGGAATATCCGATTAAGTTAAAATCATTCGCATTTACTTCGTACAGAATTCCGTAATCGATCGTTCCAGCAAGGTATCGCATGATCCGCTTAACAGCATTCCAATGATTAATATCATGTTTATTAAGAAATTTACTTACAATACTAACCGCATAAGCAACTTCTGGTCGCGAGATTGTCGCTACATAGAGCAATGACCCGACGGCCTCGCGATAAGGAACTGTTTCGAGTTTGTTACCTTCGTCTTCAAATGATTTTAAAATTACATTTGGGTCGGCGGGTACACTCAAACTATTTGCCTCGTTCATTCGAAACTTTTCGAGCATTTTAGTTATATACGCTTTTTGGTGTATGAATAACGTTTTTAACTTTCTATCGCGCTTAATTTCTACACCCGCGAAGTAACGAACATCACCGATAGTAATTTCAAACGATTCTTGAAAAGAATTTACAAGCGTTGACAGAACTTTACCTGTTTTCGCCGCAATTAGTCCATCACCAACGAATAACGCTAGATATATGTTTTCATCGTGGTATTTACCACTGAATATGCAACTGTCCGCGGTACTAGGTTTAAGCCCAAATTTAGATAAGAAATTACTAAACTTTAAATTCCAACACCTTGGAGCTTGTTTCAAACCGTATAGAGATTTTCGCAACTTACATAATACTTGATGCTTATCACAATTCACGTTTACCCCTTCGGGTACTTTCATGTAGACATCCTCGTTTAACTCTCCATGCAGGAAGGCTGTTTTTATGTCAAACTGCACGACTTCAAGATCAAGTTGCGTCACCACGGCTAAGAAAATTCTAAGAGAATCGTATCTTGCAACTGGAGCGAAGGTCTCTGTATAGTCAACCCCTGGTTGTTGCTGAAAACCTCTGGCACACAAACGTGCCTTAAAACGATACACTTCTCCACTAGTATCTTTTAAAATCTTGAAGACCCAACGGGAATCTACAGGTGTATGGTTGCTGCTCCATGGTACGATTGTCCACGTTTCGTTCTTCTTATGGGATTCTAGCTCCTCCTCGATTGCTTTGTTCCATTCTTCGGCATTAGGACCGGATATGGCTTCCTTGAAGGAATTTGGAATATTGTACTCTGCTATATTTACTTGATATTTTGCAGGTTTGTGGAGTTTGTTTCTGTCGCGAAGATTTACCGCATTTGGTATGGAAGACAAACTTTTCACGACACGTTCCCTTGGCACTGGTCGAACTTTGACACTATTCTCTGTATCCTGGGATCCGGATGGCAGGATTTGTATGTCAGTGTTCTGCGCGTCCCTTTCTTCTTCTTGTGTACCTTCTTCTTCCTGCGTATCTTTTTCTTCCGCTTTGTTGGTGTCGACTTTTTGAAAAGTTAACATCTGTTCTTCTTCCGTTTCGTGTGACTACGTTGCTGATGCTTCCTCGTCAAATATTACGTCTCTTGAAACTGAGATTTGTTTCGTTTGAGGATTGTATACTCTGTAGTTCTGCGACTCACCTTGGTAGCCCACGAGTATTACACATTTTGCCTTAGAGTCAAATTTTGTTCGGTGTTGCTTCGGTATATGCACATACGCGGTTGAACCGAATTTTCGAAGATGACTCACATCCGGTTTGTTTCCTGATCATTGTTCAAAAGGTGTTGAACCGGGATTCTTTTTGGAAGGAGTACGATTTAGGATATAGACTGCAGTATTTACTGCTTCGGCCCACAAAAATTTCGATAAGTTTTTTGCTCGTAACATGGTCCTTGCACACTCTACTATTGTGCGATTGTCGCGTTCGGCTTGACCGTTTTGTTCCGGCGTGTATGGAGCAGTATTCTGGAGCAGTATTCCATTTGCTGCCAGATACGACATCATCGCTCTGTTGCAATACTCCAATCCATTGTCTGTATGTAGCACTCCGATGTTTCTTCCGAATTTGTTCTTAAACATCGCCTCGTACTCTTTGAAGCGGTCGAACACATCGGCTTTGTGTTTTAGGAAATACACATGTCTGAATCCGGTGGCCTCGTCCTTGAAGTTCACAAAATATTTGGCTCCACCAAGTGACTCGACGGACACGGGTCCGCACACATCGGAATACACTACTTCACCGGGCTGTTTCATAACGTCTGAACTACGTTGTTCAAATTTTAACCGATGAGCTTTACCATATTGGCACGATTCACAGAAAAAGTCATTGGCAACGGTCACTTTCATTCCGCGCACAATACCTTGTTCGGCCATTTCTTTAACCCTTCTCTCTATAACCAAAAATTGCACTTAATTTCAATAACCGGAGTACCCGGGTACCCAAGCAGGAATTTTCTATGTTAATGTAGAAAAGGGTCCTTTAAATCGCTTCTTGATCCTTTGGTCTAGCTTCCCGCGTCT